ATAGACAGACAGACAGATAGATAGACAGACAGATAGATAGACAGAGAGACAGACAGACAGACAAACAGACAGACAGACAGACAGATAGATAGATAGAGACGGACAGACAGACAGAGAAATAAGAGTCACTATTGGTTCACTCTCTCATACAATTAATTACAAATGAAAAAGCAAACAGGAGCTAAATAAGAAATAATAAAACTTTAATTCACTCAGACGTTAATGCTCGCTCGCTCTCTCTATTCAATATTTCTGTTTATGTATTTATAATGATTACAATATTTAATGTCAACTGAATCTGTTTATCTGGCAAATATCCTCTGTATAATCGCAGATATATACATATGTGCCTTTATAAGTCATGCATGATTCATTCCACACATGAACACACATGAATGCATCAGCTCATAACTAACAGATGATAAAACACGCAGTTCAGCGCACACCTTTGAATGTAAAATCATCTGGGAAGTCATCTTCCTCCTCCTCTTCCTCGCTGGAGTCGGTGGGTGCGGAGTCCTGGTCGAAGGCCACGCCGCGGATCACCGGTGAGCGGCTGCTGCTGGCGCGGCTGGAGCTGCGCTGCTCCCTCAGACAGGTGAAGTACTGCACGGAGAACTCCAGCAGGTCCGCGGGCCTCCGCTTCAGCACCTCCAGCGTGTAGCCCTTCAGCAGCTCGGTCAGACCCGCAGGAACCTCCATGCTCATCCTGACCGACAGACCCAACCAAACACCACAGTACCAGAGCTCACCATACGGCTCCAAAACCGCTTTCCACCGGCGGCCAGAACCATTGACCCGTGACGGATCGACAGCGGAAAATATCGACTGTCCTCAAAAATATCACGACCGCAGGACGCCGAAGTACAGCTTTTATCTTTCTTTTATTCTGTAGATTGAATCAGCATATTCTTCTCAAAAGATCAAATTAAATCTGTACACAAATCCGTCGCGGAGAAGCGACTCGGGCTTTAATTAAACTGAGGTAAGCTGAGGACACTGAAGGGAAAAACTCATCGACTGATGATGACAGAAACACAAATCAATACTCACAGACCATATGAAAATGATCAATACACATTTATTTATGTACATGATGTGGGTGATAATAACTGTGAATTAAACCTAATGAACAAAACAATTAAAAGAGAACAGGCCTTGACTGTGTACTGAATTCCTGTCGTGAGGGCTGGAGGCAGTAAACGGATGAATGCTAGCATACAGACGGAGGTTTGCTAGCTGTTAAAGGATCGGATTCTACATTATAAACATTCAGTTTCCCTGAAGGCAGAAATCGGTTCACAGTCTGTTATAAGGCACTGATTAAAATCCTCTCGAATAAATCATAAAGCAGCGAGACGTTCATTAACATGTGCTACAGTCTGCCGCGCCGCTCACATCTGGTGCGGTTCCTCCGGATCACAGATTTGGAGCAATCCAGTTCAGAAACTTCATGGCCACTTCAAACCCCAGAAAGCAGGCCTGAAGAGAGAGAGAGTGTGTGTGTTATTGAGCTGCTGATGCGCCTCGGGCCTCTCTGACTTTATTGAGTTTTTATCTCAGGAAAGCACATCCAGCTCATATTTCCATTTCTGCCACACGAGGGGAAAACATCATGCTTTGTCTAATTATAACACAAAAAATAGGACATACTCATAATTATGAGATAAAAGGTCAAAATCATGAGATTTAAAAAGTCCTAATTATGACATAGCCAATTATGAGATAAAATGTAAAAATGATAACAGTCATAATTATGAGATAAAAGGTCAAATAATGTGATTTAAGTTACAATTATGACAAAGTCAATTATGAGATAAAGTGTAAAAATTGTAACAGTAGGTCATAATTATCAGATATGAGATAAGTCAAAATCATGAGATTAATATGGCATAACTGTGACAAATATAAATTATGAGATAAAAAGTTGAAATCACAGTTGATTTTTTTAATGTAATAATTTCAACTTTTATCCCATAATTATGACTTAGTACGTCACAATTTGGACTTTTTATCTCATAATTATGATTTACTAAAGCATGACTTTAGTTTCTTATGAGTGGAAATGGGCTTCCGTATATTTCACCCCAAAAATCTAGAGAAAAAATGTATTTAATTAAAAGAAAAAAAAAAGCATAAAGAAAATAAAGCTTATTTTTTGAGACCATGCAGATTTTTTGTATTTTGACATTCATGACGATTCACCATGATATTTGAAGTGTTCAATTGTGTTTATATGTTATGTTGTAGTATTTTAAGCTCATTCATGGTGATTCAAATAAAAGTATTATAGTATCACCAAAATCAATGAGAGAAATAAAAACCCTGAAAGCATAGCTAGTTTAAAAAGAATTATAATAATAAATATAATAAAATAAAACAAATTCATAGAATGGTGAAGATGCAATTCAGTCACTGGAGTTGGGCACTAAATCAGTGAACTGTGACCCGGTCTGACCCTCGTATGACCCTGTGTGTGCGTCACAGCGCCAGAAACCCCAGAAAGCAGGCCTGAAGAGAGAGAGAGCGTGTCAGTGTTATTGAGCTGCTGATGCGCCTCGGGCCTCTCTGACTTTGAGTTTTTATCTCAGGAAAGCACATCCAGCTCATATTTCCATTTCTGCCACACGAGGGGAAAACATCATGCTTTGTCTAATTATAACACAAAAAATAGGACATACTCATAATTATGAGATAAAAGGTCAAAATCATGAGATTTAAAAAGTCCTAATTACGACATAGCCAATTATGAGATAAAATGTAAAAATGATAACAGTCATAATTATGAGATAAAAGGTCAAATAATGTGATTTAAGTTACAATTATGACAAAGTCAATTATGAGATAAAGTGTAAAAATTGTAACAGTAGGTCATAATTATCAGATATGAGATAAGTCAAAATCATGAGATTAATATGGCATAACTGTGACAAATATAAATTATGAGATAAAAAGTTGAAATCACAGTTGATTTTTTTAATGTAATAATTTCAACTTTTATCCCATAATTATGACTTAGTACGTCACAATTTGGACTTTTTATCTCATAATTATGATTTACTAAAGCATGACTTTAGTTTCTTATGAGTGGAAATGGGCTTCCGTATATTTCACCCCAAAAATCTAGAGAAAAAATGTATTTAATTAAAAGAAAAAAAAAGCATAAAGAAAATAAAGCTTATTTTTTGAGACCATGCAGATTTTTTGTATTTTGACATTCATGACGATTCACCATGATATTTGAAGTGTTCAATTGTGTTTATATGTTATGTTGTAGTATTTTAAGCTCATTCATGGTGATTCAAATAAAAGTATTATAGTATCACCAAAATCAATGAGAGAAATAAAAACCCTGAAAGCATAGCTAGTTTAAAAAGAATTATAATAATAAATATAATAAAATAAAACAAATTCATAGAATGGTGAAGATGCAATTCAGTCACTGGAGTTGGGCACTAAATCAGTGAACTGTGACCCGGTCTGACCCTCGTATGACCCTGTGTGTGCGTCACAGCGCCAGTCGTACCGCGTTAGCTGGAAACGCTCGCAGCATCACAGCATTAAAGCCTTTATAGAGCGAGCCGATGCCCTCCTCCCGGATCAGCTCTCGCAGAACGTCCCGGAAGCCGTTGGGATATTTGCCCTCTGGAGCTGCGGATGGAACACACACATACACACACACACACACACACACAC